GCGGGAGCCCCCGGCGGTCGGTGCGGGCGAGACGCTGCGGCAGCGCCAGCGGTTTCCGCAGGGGGGGTTGCGGAGCGGAGCAGCGAAGGGGGGGAAAACAGCGGAGGAGTGAAGGCAACCGGCGGCCGAACCGTCCTCCCGGAGCAAGGGGGGGAGAGGCAGGAGCGGGCCCCAGCGAGAAGAGAACCAGAGACAGGAAGGAAGGAGCAGGGCAGCCCGGGAGAGAGCGACCGAGAAGAAGGCGAGCGGGGCAGCCCGGGCGGTCTCACTTTCTCCCGTAGGTCCCGTTCCAGGTCCAGCTCCCGCTGGAGGACCTGAGCGCGATCCTCCGCCTCATCCGCCTGTTGCTGCAGGCACTGGATCTTCCTTTTCACCGCTTCCAAGGAGCTCGGCGCGGCCATGGGCGCGGCGGCGCTGGCGGCGGGCAGGGCGCGGAGGTGCTGCACGTGGCGGCGCGCGGCCCCGCGCCTTTCAATGGGCCGATGACGTCACGCGGCTGGAGGTGGAGGGGCGGTGACGTAGCACCACCGTCGGGACGTAGCAACGTCGGGTACATGGAGCCGCCCCCGCCCGGTCCCGTCCCCTATCCCGTCCCGTCCCACCGGCCGCCGTAGCGCTCGGGGATGCGGGACTCCCCGGTTCTTCCCGCCCCGGGAGCCCGGGGGTTTGGGGGGGGGTGGTGTGTCAGGAAACCGCCTGCCCCGTCCGGCTCCTCACCGCCGGGTTTGGGAAGAAAGAAGCCAAAATTACCGATTCTGACAGCAAAAAGGGAAGGGGGTGCGTGGCTGCAGCCTTCGGGCAGGGCAGATCCCTGCTCCTCTCCCAGCCTCCTGCAAGGCACCATTTTGTATACTAAAATTTCCCCTTTCCTCAAGGATTTCCACCCAGAACCCCTTACGTACCCCTTTGTGCTGGCTCCCGGGTAGAGAGGACAAGGGACTCGTGTCCCCGGAAGGTAAAGCCACCCTTCCTACCCCCCTTCCCTACACCCTACACCAAACCCTCACGGCCGGGTTTGGGAAGAAAGAAGCCAAAATTACTGATTCTGACAGCAAAAAGGGAAGGGGGTGCGTGGCTGCAGCCTTCGGGCAGGGCAGATCCCTTTCAGGGATCCCTGCTCCTCTCCCAGCCTCCCTGAAAGGGATCTGCCCTGCCCTGGCAGGGCTGCAGGCTGCCCAAAGGCTGCAGGGCACCATTTTGTATACTAAGATTTCCCCTTTCCTCAAGGATTTCCACCCAGAAACGCTCCCCACCGCCCCGTTTCAGAACCCCTTACGTACCCCTTTGTGCTGGCTCCCAGGTAGAGAGGACAAGGGACTCATGTCCCTGGAAGGTAAAGCCACTCTTCCTACCCCCCTTCCCTACACCCTACAGCAAACCCTCACCGCCAGGTTTGGGAAGAAAGGAGCCAAAATTACCGATTCTGACAGCAAAAAGGGAAGGGGGTGCGTGGCTGCAGCCTTCGGGCAGGGCAGATCCCTGCTCCTCTCCCAGCCTCCCTTTCAGGGGTCTGCCCTGCCCTGCCCGAAGGCTGCAGAGCACCATTTTGTATACTAAAATTTCCCCTTTCCTCAAGGATTTCCACCCAGAAACGCTCCCCACCGCCTCGTTTCAGAACCCCTTACGTACCCCTTTGTGCTGGCTCCCGGGTAGAGAGGACAAGGGACTCGTGTCCCCGGAAGGTAAAGCCACCCTTCCTACCCCCCTTCCCTGCACCCAACCCCCCCAGGGGCTCTCAGCCATCCCCCTCCCACACGCAGGACACACAGTGGTTTCGGGCAGGGCAGATCCCTGCTCCTCTCCCAGCCTCCCTTTCAGGGGTCTGCCCTGCCCTGCCCGAAGGCTGCAAGGCACCATTTTGTATACTAAAATTTCCCCTTTCCTCAAGGATTTCCACCCAGAAACGCTCCCCACCGCCCCCTTTCAGAACCCCTTACGTACCCCTTTGTGCTGGCTCCCGGGTAGAGAGGACAAGGGACTCGTGTCCCCGGAAGGTAAAGCCACCCTTCCTACCCCCCTTCCCTACACCCTACACCAAACCCTCACGGCCGGGTTTGGGAAGAAAGAAGCCAAAATTACTGATTCTGACAGCAAAAAGGGAAGGGGGTGCGTGGCTGCAGCCTTCGGGCAGGGCTGCAGGCTGCCCAAAGGCTGCAGGGCACCATTTTGTATACTAAGATTTCCCCTTTCCTCAAGGATTTCCACCCAGAAACGCTCCCCACCGCCTCGTTTCAGAACCCCTTACGTACCCCTTTGTGCTGGCTCCCAGGTAGAGAGGACAAGGGACTCATGTCCCTGGAAGGTAAAGCCACTCTTCCTACCCCCCTTCCCTACACCCTACAGCAAACCCTCACCGCCAGGTTTGGGAAGAAAGGAGCCAAAATTACCGATTCTGACAGCAAAAAGGGAAGGGGGTGCGTGGCTGCAGCCTTCGGGCAGGGCAGATCCCCTCCCTCAAACCCAGGCTGGGAGAGGAGCAGGGATCTGCCCTGCCCGAAGGCTGCAGGGCACCATTTTGTATACTAAGATTTCCCCTTTCCTCAAGGATTTCCACCCAGAACCCCTTACGTACCCCTTTGTGCTGGCTCCCGGGTAGAGAGGACAAGGGACTCGTGTCCCCGGAAGGTAAAGCCACCCTTCCTACCCCCCTTCCCTGCACCCAACCCCCCCAGGGGCTCTCAGCCATCCCCCTCCCACACGCAGGACACACAGTGGTCCCTGGGTATACGTACATCGGTCGCCTTCTTTTCGGCCTGTTCCAGTTTCTCCTGGGCATCTTTGAGAGCCTCCGAGTACTTGTCCAGCTCGTCTTCGGTTCCTTTCAACTTCTTCTGCAGAGCCATCAGCTCATCTTCTACCTTTCAAGGGAGAAAAAAAAAACCCACAACATAAAAAAGTGAGCGTTTTGGTGTGTTTTCGGTTACAGTTTAATACAGAATCATAGAATCATAGAACCATCTTCAAGCCCATGCAGCGCTACGGGCTTGGGGAAGAATGGCTGGAGAGCTGCCTGGTAGAAAAGGACCTGGGGGTGTTGGTCAACTGTTGGCTGAACATGAGCCACCAGTGTGCCCAGGTGGCCAAAAAGCCAATGGTATCCTGGCCTGGATCAGGAACAGTGTGGCGAGTAGGACCCAAGAGGTGATTGTCCCCCTGTACTGGGCACTGGTGAGGCCTCACCTCGAGTACTGTGTCCAGTTTTGGGCCCCTTCCCACAAAAAAGACATGGAGGGGGTGGAGCGGGTCCAGAGAAGAGCAACGGAGCTGGTGAGGGGTCTGGAGCACAAGTCTTATGAGGAGAGGCTGAGGGAGCTGGGGGTGTTAAGTCTGAAGAAGAGGAGGCTGAGGGGAGACCTTCTCGCTCTCTGTAACTACCTGAAGGGGGGTGTAGAGAAGCGGGGGTCGGTCTCGTCTCCCAAGTCCCAGGAGACAGGACAAGGGGAAATGGCCTCAAGTTGCACCAGGGGAGGTTTAGATTGGATATTAGGAAACATTTCTTCACGGAAAGGGTTATCCAGCATTGGAATAGGCTGCCCAGGGAAGTGGTTGAGGCACCATCCCTGGAGGTGTTCAAAAGATGGGCTGACATGGTCCTCAGGAATATGGTTTAGTGGTGTGTGGTTTTTTTATTTTATTATTTTTTTATTTATTTTTTTTGTCAGAGTTAGGTTGACGGTTGGACTAGATGATCTTTAAGGTCCCTTCCAACCTAGACGATTCTATGGTTCTATGATCTAGGTTGGAAAAGACCCTTGGGATCATCGAGTCCAACCATCATGGCTCAAACCTCTCTTTACCGTTAGTTTTAACCCAACGTAACACGCACGGAGTCACAGAGGAGCGGCTCAGAGTTGGGCTGGGGCAGGTTGCCTGAGAACAACCGGGAGCAGTTACTGGGAAAGACCCTCCAAGCCCTGTCACCCCTCAGGACAGCGCTCCCTGCCACCGCACACACAGACCTGCTTGAACACCTCACTTGGTAGGAGCCCTTTGTCATCTCATTTCTATTCTGGCCTCCACAACACCCTGCAGCAGTTAATTCTACAGCAGAGTTATAAATGTTTTAAAATTATGTCCTTGTGTGGTTTTTTTTCTAACACTATTATTCTATGATTTATTAGGAAACAATTCAATTCCTGTACAGCTAGAAAAAAACCAAGTGGTTGTTCTCCAATCATCACGTTGAAGACACTTCAAACCAAACATGACTCTGGAAGCTGAGGGACCACGTCTGTCTCACGACAGTCCCTGCTGTAAGCAGGAGGTGGGAGGCGATGGCCAGAGCTCCCTTCCAACCCCAATTATCCTCCACCTAATTGTGGGCCAACGAGGTACGCTCCATCCTACCAGGAGGTCCAGGCTCTCTCAGTCCATACCATATAAATCCATATGGTACGCTACAACGGTTCTATTTATAACCTGCCGGGAGACTGTTTGATGACAAACTGTCTCATGCTCCCTGAAGAATTTACATTATCAGGAGGCTGCTGATAAGGGGTGTGCCTGCGAAGCCAACCCATCTGCTCCATCCCTTCATTTGCAACACAAAACACCACACTCTGCAGAGAAACTGATTTAACCGTTTAGCTCCGCCCTCGCATTAATTTAGTCTATCAAAATAGTTCACTCAAAATAGTTCGTGTTTTAGTGCACTGATTTCCTTCATTGAAATATAGCTTTAATCACATTTTTGGTAGCGTGCTATTCTGGAATGTTGTTATACTTTTACTCGCAGTAACCAGTGTGAGAGAATGGCATGTGGTTGCTTGGATGCTTTAGCAGAGGGACAGTGATGAGGAAGAAGGAGGTGATGCTTCCTTTGTGTATGACATTAAAATCACTACTTGAGTACTGGGCCCACATTAAAAAAAAAAGAACCAAACAGCTGAAAAATTTGAGACAATTCAGAAAAGGGAAGTCAGATCAAAGATTTACTTTTCTCTTTTAGCTTTTTATTGTGAATTACTCTCATATAGTTACTTGAAAATCCCCACAAGTGCGTCATTTATCACGCTGTGGGAAATCACCTTTGGTAACTGGATGTAAAGGAAGGGGAGGCATTCAATCACCATTAACCGCTCGGGATAACGATCTGCTGCGGCTGCTACTGAGCCCAGAAGGATTAGCTGGGGAAACCGCGGCCCAGCAGAACAGCATCTGCTCAACACCTCTGAAGTTAGGAAAGAAACAGGGACTACATACACGGGGTGATGAGCGCAGCGTGTGGGAGCTCACGGCAGTGACACAGAAGGGACAAGCAGCTTTCCCTACGTTGGGGGTGGAGGGGGAAGACAGCGGCAGCTGACCCTGAAAATTTAGTAATATCATCCGGGATCTCCAACGGACCTTGAGCACAAGCCACATTTGGCTAAATGAATGCTAATAAATATTATAGCAGTCTGGAAGGTGGAGTAGAAGCAGCCGCATTCAGAGGATGTAAAAGGAAAAGATGTGGGAATTTTACAAGAAGTGCTGTAAAAAACGTGAATGCAGCCAACTCACATTTCAAGATCTTTCTGAAAAAACTATACGCTCAAATACAAGGTAGATACCCAGAATAAGGAACATTGAAAAGCAAGAGAACATGATAATATCATCACTAAAACTCCGTTAAAAAAGAGCTTTCAAATTAAGATATTTCTGATTATTCTTGACAAAAAAAATGATACAACATTATCTACTGTTGAGTCTTGGCTGGCACCTCGACGGGGCACTATGTATACCCAGGACTAGTCAAGTGAATTTTATTAATTCACTTCAGGGAGAGGCTCAATTAATGTTTGGACCCTGCTGACTCTTCGGGAGGTATTAACACCACTCCTACAGGTGTTCAGGGTGTACAGCTTTAATTTGGAGCAAGCCTTTTCCAGGGAATCACAAGCACAAGAAAATTAAGGCAATGACATAAGATTCAAGAAAACTTAGACAAAGTACCCTTAATAATCTATGAATAGTGATAATTTCGCAAAGACTCAGATGGCTGAAAAGACAAGTTCCTACCTAGCCCTGGCTGTATGAGTGTAACTTCACAAAAAGGCAAAAGACTTCAAAAGAAGACAAACAGAAAACCAACTTCAAATTATTTTGCTTTCTGAGCCGGAAAGTTGCAACATAGTATTTTTTTACACTCATTTCCACAGTGCATACACAATCAGGGATTTTATTTGTACTTACCTGTTTGCATTTGTCCTCAGCTGCCTTCTTATCCGTCTCAGCCTGCTCTGCTCTGTCAATGGCATTCTCCTTGTCTAACTTCAACATCTGCATCTTTTTCTTGATAGCTTCCATTTTTGCTCAAGGATAGGTTGTGTCTGTGGCGCAACTGAAAGAATTCCAAAGAATAAAGTTCTAGATTTTTAAGAGCTTGGGCAGAGAAAGGAGTTGTACCCAGCCAAGCCACAGGGGAAAAATGAGCTCAAGTGGTTGTAGAGAGCTTTAAACCCAGAGACCCCTGGACAAAACCCAGATCTATTGGCCTCTTCTCTGATCTTTCACACGCAGCCTTTCTAAGGAATGAGCTGGAACAGACTCACCAGAGGAATCTTCAGCACTCCATCATCTCCTTATTTGGGTCCTGTTTTCTTAAAGAGAAAACTGTTTCCATTTTTAAGCTTCTGACAGAAGCAAAAGTGTTGACATATGAACACATGCTTGAAAGAAAGCTTATTAGCACCCCTCCGTGTTTGCAGAGCAATTAAACAGTCCAATAGATCTAAAGGGATGGCCTTGGATTCTTATAGTAATTGCATGAGACTAATGAAGGAAAGGGAAGGATCTTTTTGGATTACTCCAAAAGAAATCCATGCATAAAATAAAATAAAAAATCTACACTTAAGAGGTAGCTAAGTTTAAGTTATAAAAAGATGCAGGATGTGTTAAGAGGCAGCAGGTTGGTTTTTTTTTTTTTTTTCCTGTGAAAATAAGCCCTGGTGTTAAGGTACTAGCTATAATCTGTAACAGTGTAATAGATAACAGAAGTCAGATTTAGATCTCAAGTTCAGGCTCAAAGGCATTCAGGGAGTCTGAATGCCCGTCTTTAAAATTTCACTCACTAAATACTTTGGGAATTGAACAATGCACCTGAAGTTTCAGTTGGATGAGCACTGTAAATTATTTCTCCTGCTTGATGGAGCAGTCACCTTCTCTCTGTCAGGCAAGGCATGAGTAGGCTCTGGGAAGAAGATCAGGCCACTAAGAACACCAACAAGAGCATCCAACAGCCCCGGGATGAGCCCTACTTGCTTTTCCAGCCCTATTAAAACACATCCCCAAGCCCAACTCCCATCCCTTCATACGCTCTTGCTTAGCTTCACAGCCCCTGTCACCTGCTTTGCCCTGACTGCAGCAAGGGCTTAATTACTGTTTTTTTTTTTTTTTCCTGTGAAAATAAGCCCTGGTGTTAAGGTACTAGCTATAATCTGTAACAGTGTAATAGATAACAGAAGTCAGATTTAGATCTCAAGTTCAGGCTCAAAGGCATTCAGGGAGTCTGAATGCCCGTCTTTAAAATTTCACTCACTAAATACTTTGGGAATTGAACAATGCACCTGAAGTTTCAGTTGGATGAGCACTGTAAATTATTTCTCCTGCTTGATGGAGCAGTCACCTTCTCTCTGTCAGGCAAGGCATGAGTAGGCTCTGGGAAGAAGATCAGGCCACTGAGGACACCAACAAGAGCATCCAACGGCCCTGGGATGAGCCCTACTTGCTTTTCCAGCCCTATTAAAACACATCCCCAAGCCCAGCTCCTATCCCTTCATACGCTCTTGCTTAGCTTCACAGCCCCTGTCACCTGCTTTGCCCTGACTGCAGCAAGGGCTTAATTACTCCACCACCCAGAGCATACTGAAAGCATTCACCTTCGCTCCACGGAGACCTGCATGTCCTCATATCCCCCCATTTCTTTCCTAAATTCAGGTCCTGTTAACCACCTCATGATCCTTTCCACACTGATTCTGCCCCTGTCCTGCTCTCCACAGCCCCGTGCTCCCTCCCAGGCCACACAGAGCCCAAACTCTCTGCGCAAACGCTGTCAGCCTTCTCTCAGGAGTGCTCACAGCATCCCCAGCCATGACGGGTACCCAACGACTCAGCAGAAGACCCAGGAACTCCCTCATCCCCTGAAGTGAGTTGGCATGGCACTGAAAGGCCTTTAGAGAGACTTCTAAGGAAAAAATGCCCTTTATTTACCTCATGGTAGAATCGACACAGAGCTAACACCAGCACAATGCCTATAAGCAAGACCGGAGCCCCACAAACTATCCCTAAAGGACCTCTGGGTCAGTCAGAGCACTCGCTAGGCTGCTCAGGCGGCCTTTTGTGAGGGATTTACTGCTGTTTCACTTCAAAATAAAACCAATAGCTGACACTGTTACTAAAACCAAGGTCTCAACCCCCGGTGGCCCCACCCGCTGCCTGGTAAGGAGGGCTTCGGCCCCCCATCCCAAGATGGCCGCCAGGAAGCGCCCCGAGGGGCTGCGAGCTGGAGGCGCCAAGATGGCGGCGCGGCAGAGGACTACAGCTCCCAGAGGGCTGTGCGCGACCGGCCCGCCCCTCCTCAGCGTCCTCAGCTCCGGCCGGGCCCGCCCAGCACCTCCTGTACCTCAATCCCTCTTTAGCGGCCAGTAAATAGCCGCGCTCAACGTTTGTTCTGTTTATTTTTTTTTTTCTTTTTTCCCCCATATATAAAATAATGCTCTGAATTTTTAGCAGCTGTAAGTTGAGTGTTTGCTGGGAAATCGGTGCTGGCCTCAGAGCGTGCCCATACTCCTCGGCCTCACATAATTAAACATGCTTTTATCTCCTAAAATCACCGTATTTCCCTCTCCTTGTCTGACCTGCAGGTATGGCAAGGTGGCCTCACGGGCATTTTTTTATCAATTTCTGGTGATTTGAGCAGTAAATCTGCAGGTCCTGAGCTTGGGAGCTGCTTTAAGGAGTCAGGGTCAGGCACTAAATTAACAGCGCTGCTGAACCTGCAGAAACGGCACTAAAAACTAATAAACTGTATTGATCACCATCATGGCACATGCTTCCCCTTGCCCTCCTCCCCCGCGAGGTTGCCGCTGGACCCTGGTCCTGGGGGTGCTGGAGGGGTTTGGGCTGAAGGTACAGCTGTGAGATCTCCATTAGCTTTCTCTGGGGCAATGGACACCTCTAATAACTTTCTTCTACTGGCTGTGATCCAGTGGTCTAGCTCACACCCTGCTCCTGTGAGTTCAAACCAGTTGGCCATGTTTTATGGCTCCTTTGGGGCATCCAAAGATGCTGGGAGGGCTGGAGCCCCTCTGCTGGGAGGGGCTGCTGAGAGAGTTGGGGGGGTTCAGCCTGGAGAAGAGAAGGCTCCGGGGAGACCTTAGAGCCCCTTCCAGCCCCTCAAGGGACTCCAGGAAAGCTGGGGAGGGACTCTGGATCAGGGAGGGGAGCCCTAGGACGAGGGGGAAGGGTTTGACTCTGGAAGAGGGGAGATGGAGCTGAGATGTGGGGAAGAACTTGTTTGCTGTGAGGGTGGTGAGAGCCTGGCCCAGGCTGCCCAGAGAAGCTGTGGCTGCCCCATCCCTGGAGGGGTTCAAGGCCAGGTTGGAGGGGGCTTGGAGCAACGTGGTCTGGTAGGAGGTGTCCCTGCCCAGGGCAGGGGGTGGCACTGGGTGGGCTTTAAGGTCCCTTCCAACCTAAACCATTCTATGATTCTCCGATCCTGCTCCAGAGTGGGCCCCGCATGGATGTACCTGTTTCACACATGCCATGGTGGGTGGACGTGCCACTGTGGCTACCCCATCTCTGGAGGGGTTCAAGGCCAGGTTGGAGGGGGCTTGGAGCAACGTGGTCTGGTAGGAGGTGTCCCTGCCCAGGGCAGGGGGTGGCACTGGGTGGGCTTTAAGGTCCCTTCCAACCTAAACCATTCTATGATTCTCCGATCCTGCTCCAGAGTGGGCCCCGCATGGATGTAGCTGTTTCACACATGCCATGGCGGGTGGATGTGCCATAGGCACGTCTCCTTTTCAGAAGGAGCAGGTTTTGGGGTGCAGCTTTGGAGACATGTCAGGTGGGGGAGGAAGCGGAGGGGGGCAGGACCGTGTTTAGCCCTGTTTGACCTGGCACATGTGGGAACTCACGTGATGGAGGCAGATGCAAGACCCTGCACGCCTCTCCCCAGCACTGCAGCTGCAGGTAGCCCTAGGCGCGCATTTCGAGCCGTTTCTATGGCTGCCCTCGCAGCCTCTTTGTAATTTCTGATTATTGAGATGAACAGAGGTGGCTTTCCAGCCCTTCTCCTGCTGCAGGCTTGGGCAGGCTCAGAATCGGGGCTGGGGATGTGAACACTGAACAAGCCTCTTTTTATTTCTACTGCAGGAAGATAATTTTTCTAATCAACTCCGTAGCATGACTCATTTAGAGTCCACATTTAGAAAGGAACATCAAGGAACGTGTCACCCTGTGTAGCCCTTCAACCAGGTACATTCCCTTCTTCTCCTCCCTGCTTCACTGACTGGAAAGAAGTACCTGAAAAATTCACTCTGGTCTCTCAGTAATGATAACCCTGTCACTCCCACAGCCTCTGTCTTTCATTAGCTTGGGAAACAGTGAGCAACCAAGAGAGAAAGAAGAGCCCTCCAAAGCTTTTCTTTTTTTTTTTTTCTTTTCTTTTTCCAGGCACTGGGAGGGTGCTCTAAGGAGTTCCTTTGTTTTTCCTTTTCTTTCAGAGGGATTGTTTGGGCCCAGCAAGGCTTGGCAAGGTTGGGTGTGTAAATATGAGAGGATACCAGAAGGAAATGAAGTTGGATTGTTGGCGAGTGCGCTCATTTCTTTGGCAGCACGCTGCATGGGGAGCGTGTCGCAGCAGGCATTTTAACAGACTGGGGCGGGGGGGTCAGACCTGTGGCCTCGCAGGTCTCAAAATTTTCTGTCGTCTCAATCCCTGCCCCTTTTTTATTTTCCAGGAGTCAGCTGGAACCCACACCACATCCCATTTCACTATCTGGGAAAAGCAGATATTTTATATCTCTGTTTTCTCCCCCAGTTCCTGCTCCATTCTAAAATCCTGGTCATAAAAGATCACCTTCCTCTCTTTGACATTGACTGAGCTCTAGCTCCTCCTCATATGCAAAGCTGCATATGTCACGGCTAGAGACGTTTGACAGCAGAAGAAAGAAGCTATTGACAGTCCTTTATCAAATTTCCTTCAGTTTCCTACTATAAGTATCTCCTAATAGTTCACTCTCTCTTGTAAATATTCTGTTCTAGAAATATATAATATGGTGTATCATTAGGAGTGCACTGTAGCAAAAGTGGCACTAGAATGAACACCAAACTTGTCTATTCCTGGCACTTCCTTTTAAATGACCAAAAAAAAATATCCATAAACCCTCACTGAATTTCCGTTCTTTGTGGGTTCTTCCTACAGGGATGTCTCCCAGCATGAAGCATACAGCAGGGCAGTAACAATCCGTAATTCCCCTTTTCTGATACTATCTCATTAAGTATCCATTACTCACCACAGGTGCAGACAAGATACTGGGCTAGGTGTGACCAAAGCAG